CTGCGGTGAAACATATACTCAAGTACCTGCGAAGGACTAAGGAGTACATGTTAGTTCACCGTGCAGACAGTTTGTTTCGGCTGGGTTACAGCGATTCTGATTTTTAGTCAGATATGGACGAGAGTAAGTCAACCTCAGGTTATGTGTTTACCTTGGGAGGTGGAGCCATTTCATGGAGGAGTGCTAAGCAAAAGTGCGTAGCAGACTCCACTATGGAAGCCGAGTACATCGCAGCCTCTGAGGCAGCGAAAGAGGCAGTTTGGCTCAGAAACTTCTTGGTGGACTTAGAAGTGATTCCGAGTTTGCCACGTGTTATTACCGTGTACTGTGATAACAGTGGTGAAGTAGCAAACTCAAGGGAACCACGAGCCCACAGAGCAAGCAAACATAGAGCGCAAATACCACCTTATCATAGATATTGTGGCAAGAGGAGAAGTTGAGATCACCAAGATTGCATCAGAAGACAACCTAGCTGATCCTTTTACAAAGAGTTTGCCGGAGAAGGTCTTCGCCAAACACGTAGAGGGAATGGGAATCAAATGTATGGTGATAAGATCGACATAGGTCTTTTAGGATACGGATTGATAGGACTATACTAGTAAAACGGCAGCTTTAAGTATAAGTGGGAGATTGTTCGTGTTATATACTTAAGCTTTGCTTTAGTGGATATTACACTTGTTATTCCTTGATGAATGAGAATTATGTTTGGTTAAATAAGTTCCACGTTCTGTTGTTTTGCATGTAGATAAGTGGGTCGTCATCGGGCGTACCGAAGATCACTATATCAGTTACTTGCGAAACAAGAATCATTGATTCACAACCTAGATGGAATTGAACAACCCATCGGAACGGTTGTAGTGTCAACCGTACGGTTTGTCTTGACCGATTAGTTGCACTAGTACATTTATGTATTGAAGAGGATCCCAGAGAGGGATGTTCGTTTTATGCTAATCGTCGTAAACGAACTAAGCCTCAGTTAATTATTGTGTGTTCTTAACCCGTAAGATATTAAATAGGCATGTGCACATAATTGTTGTTGCTTTGATTCTTTGGGTGAGATCCAAGCCGGGTCGACATACTTAATGAATTGGGTAATAAAATTATGTGTTCGATGTGCTATTAGGATATTTACGGTCACCATGTGAGTTAGTATGATGATGTCCCCGAAGTAAGTTCATGAAGGAATATTATGCAAAACCCTGCAGGTGGATTTATTCCGGCATAATA